TTTCGAGAGTAGTACAGCATAATAAGGATGATGCCTGGGTAAAAAAAAATATTTAACTCCTCATTTAGATGATGGAAAAATATTAGATACGTATTTTTTCCTTCAATGTAACGAAATTAGCTGAGATAACAGGCATTAAAGTTGAGGAGTACAAACATAGAGAGTATGTAACGTCAAGCGAATAAATAATCTACATGACGGACAGATAAAGAAACAGAAGTCATCCGTATTGACACCAATGAACAATAAATATTCATTATGAAGGCACAGGCTATCGCTGCAATGGAATCGTTTTTCCCGTCATGACATAGGAAAAACCACAAAAACGAACATACGGACATACATAACTGACATAGAAAGAATATATAGTCATAAACCATCGCTTATAAAGTTTAATACTAAGAATAGAACTTTTGAATTACACTAAAGAAATTCCATCTCAGAGTACCATGGACAAAGTAGTTTTATAACCATATTTCATTAAGTATGTTAAACCAAAGTTAATTATTCCATTAAAAACTTAATATAACGAAAATTCGTGCTACATACGATTGAACAGAAATTGCAAGTTACAAATAAACTTGTGGTAGATGATTCTGTGAAGTTTCTCACAGAATATTCGACAAAAGTATCCGCTGGACCGGTTATTGTTTATCGCTTGTGCATTTTATTTACCTACCTAGTTCAGATTAAAATATATTTTTCTCTAAAAGTGGTATTATATACAAGTTTAAATAAAATAAAAATGAATAATTTATAAAATAAAAAAACGCGACTGCTTTCATTGAACTAAAAATGAAAGAAACAAGTAAAAAAACAGCATTATGACCAACGAGGTGGGTTAACAAAGTCAAGAGAATCCTCCTTTTAATGTCCAAAGAATCGCAAAGTTAACCTTAACAGTTAGGAACAAATAACGTTAAATAAATCGGTAGTTTTTCAAAACTTTATTAAAATAACGTACATTAACATTATTACACATAAATATCACAAAGATTTTGACATCACTAAACAAATACGCTTTTGTAAAATATAATTCAATATGTAATTATAATTTGATACACCATTATTTTTTGTCTAAACAAAAACCGTAGCGGTAAGCCATTAGGGCTTATTTGTCTGTAGCAGTAAATTAACAAATGAACTTCTTGTTTCGAATGAATTCAAAATGTTTACGTAATGATCAGCGCTGGGAATAAGCTTCGGATTATTTAACAAGAAATAACGTTGTACAACATATTTAGATTAATCATCATACCCTTTACTCTCTTTTCAAATCGTGAAACTCAACACTTCGCCAGAACAAATCATACAGCATTAATGTACTTACAAATACGTTTGTTTCGCTTCTCTTATTGTAGTTAAAAATACTAAACCAGTAACTGATTATGATTAAATTTATAGTTGTTTTAGATCTAACTTTTTTATAATTAGATTAGATATATGACTATTTTTTAGGAAACATATTATGGTAGATGTTCAGTTAATAAATTACGAGAGTTAGAAATATATTATGAAATCATAGACTAATAAAACTCGTACACAGTCGAAAGAACTAATAACTCGAAACTATGTTATAACTTAGGCAGATATTTTTACTAAATAAACAAGAATTTGAACGAAGTAAGTACTGTTTATAGTTAAAACACAATTATTATTAGCTATTAACTGTTTAGTACTTTGTTCAAATTCTCGTCTATTAGTTAGAAATATTTACTAAAGTAATGACATTTTCTCAAGTCATTGTTTCTTTTTAGTATAGATATGAGTGTATCCATTCTAGCACAACAAATAGGATTATATTAAAATTGTTTTAAATTCGCATTGGAAACAAAACGTACTTTCGTTTTGTTTAACCATTGAAGTGCATTAATAAAATAAACAAGTTCTGTCAACTATAGAATAATAAAATTTAACGAATTTTTGTAATATAAACTAAATATTTGATTGCAAACATTAGTATTTCCACACATTACTTTTTATACAAAAAAATGTTAATTCGATATTTTCTATTGAATCGCAGATGCAAACAAAATTTCTCAGACTTTTGCAATTTCAATGATTACATATTAATAATGCCTAACAAAAATACTAACACATTGAATGTGTAATGACGAAGTCTAAGGCATACAATACGAATTGTACTCATGTAGTTTTACATCAGTAAATCCATTAAGTAACAATTTGTTAATAATTATAATAGAAAACACCACAATTGATCTCTACAAAAAAGAATGAACAGACAGTTGATCTATTTTGGAAACAACGACGATTCAATATTTGAATAATAATCAAATAGGTTGATTTTTCAAAGAAATAAAGTAAAAAACAAGACTTAAATTTATCAACATTGATCCAACCAACGGGCAAATGATATAAATAACATTATAGTTCGTAAAGGTCTTTAAATATATTGATTAATATTATACGGCTGCGTTTTGACGCCAAACGTAATAATTACATATTGACTATATATATAAAAACGACACCTCTTCTACACATATTTTTTCTAACTCATGCGTCTTATTTATCTTTTACCATAACCACTAAACTGACAGATTGTATATACTATATATAGCTATAATAAAACATCATTAATAACCATTAAGAAAATTGATGTTTTACTGTCTTTCTTAGGTTTCTGAAACCATGCAAAAATGTAAATGAGTAGTAACATGAAATAAAAGATATTAGTCATTATTCCCACCTTCTAGAATAGTCTATAATAAAATAGTAAAAATGCAAAACTACGCAGGAAAAATATCTACACAATACAAAATTAAGTACCTATAACTATACAAATAACTTTTAAGAGTCACTTATTGACACAACTGCTGAAACATACGAGGGTCAAACTGAAAGTTCTTAGAACTGGTCACTTATAAACAATATAATAAAAAAATAATTCTAAAATTTGAAAATATAACTCTTTGCCAATATTACTGAGTATATATTTCATTCATTTGTCATTTGTTTTACGATTTGGCGGCAAATTGAAAATTGTCTGTGTCACGTCATCATGAATTTAACACGAGAAAATTTTCGTGCAATGATTTTTTATGACTTTCGATGTCATTTAAGTCAACAAGAAAGTTATGATAGACTACGATTGGCCTTTCACGATGAAGCCCCATCTCGTGCGACTGTTTACAACTGGTTTAATGAGTTTAAACGTGGTCGCACTAATCTCACTGATGATTTACGTGAGGGACGGCCTTCTACGGCGACGACTGAAGATAACATCTGTGTTGTGCGGCGTATGATAGAGACTGACAAAAGAGTGACCTATCAACAGATTCGGACAAGCTTAGGCATCGGTATGAGTCAAGTGCACAAAATCCTCCACGAACATTTAGCGGTCAGGAAGCTTTGCGCCCGGTGGATACCTCATAATTTGACTGAGGCTCAAAAACTCCATCGTGTGGATTGGTGTCGTAAAATGATTGAAAGATTTAACGGAGGTGACTCAAATGCTGTGTTCGACATACTAACAGGTGACGAAAGCTGGATTTACTGTTATGATCCTAAAACCAAAAGACAATTTGCTCAGTGGGTGTTTCCTTTCGAGGAGTTGCCAACTAAAGTGAAGAGAGATCGAAGTGCGGGAAAAAAAATGGTGGCCTCGTTCTTTGGAAGGATAGGTCATTTTGCAACAATTGTGTTAGAGGATCAAAAAACAGTTTCTGCAGAATGGTACACTACCAATTGTTTGCCACTTGTCTTGGAAAAAGTTCGAGAGAAACGACCTCGCAGTAGGATCCTCCTTCACCACGACAACGCCTCGTCGCACACCGCCAAGCGAACGATCGACTATTTGGCGACATCAAACGTTGAATTACTGGGTCAGCCGCCGTATAGCCCCGACCTCGCGCCTTGTGATTTTTATTTATTTCCAAAAATTAAAGAAAAACTTAAAGGAAAGCGGTTTATGAATGCTGAAGAAGCGGTGGCTGCGTATCGCGATGCCATTGAAGAGACCCCTAAGGACGAGTGGGCAAAGTGCTTTTCCCAGTGGTTCCATCGCATGCAGCGGTGTATTGACGTGAATGGACAATATTTTGAAAAGATATAATAAAACTAATAACTGGCAAATGTAATCAGTTTTTGATTTTCTAAGAACTTTCAGTTTGACCCTCGTATGGCTTGTTAATTGTTTCGTTAGTACAGAAATTTGTCACCTATCTATGATATGGAATTTAAAATTATTTTATCTGAATCGCTCTAAGTACTTATTTAAGTATTGTACTGATTTATTTGGAACGTTATTGTTTATTTAGAACGTTGATATGCTATCTTTTGAAATAAGATAAACAACTAATGCAGAAATATGATATTTTTAACATATAAATATCAAGAACTACAACAATTATTTGAAACAAAGCAACGAGAATCAATAAAGCTATGTGATATTTTTATTATATTCAACAGATTATCTTCGTCTTTAATAAAACTACGGTTTCAATTGAATATTAACTAAAATATGTTCCTTTTTGTTGTATCGTTGCTCTTTGCGTCTTACTCATAAGAAAAATATTGAAGTTTCTGTGTAAAATTAACATTATAACTGTTTTTTGCTAAATATGTTTTCATTTTATAACTAGATTTTAAGTTATTTTAATATACATATATCGGTACAGTATCTAACGTTAACTATCAAGAATTTGGGTGTGAAAACAAAACTTCAACGTACTCTATATCCTTTATCGACTCTCTAAACTCGCAGAATGAAATCCTAAAATATACTTCGCCAAATATATACCAATTTCTATATGAATACAGTGACATAAATTACATTTTTACAATAGTTTTTGAATTCACAAACATGCTCATTTAAGCAGTACCTAATGGGTTCAAAGAACACACAGCTACATACGTTATTCTAATCATATGTATAAATAGCAAGTTATATCTTCAAATAATCAGATCAAAAGTTATCAAGCTAAAACGTAAATAAAAATGAATGCTTATAAGTACAAACAATTACTCGCATGAGTACAATACTAGTATAGTGCAAATGCAGCGATAGCAAACAGTATAGTGAAAGTAGGTATGTTTCGCACCGCCGAGTTCTTTTTTAGCGACTGACTAGCATAAGTCTGTAACAGACCACAAGAAATATGTTTCCTCATATTTGATGACGGGGTATGCCTTATGACGAAACACTCCATACCCGGTGTAACTTCAATTTCTTTTCCTTTGACGTCTAGAGCATTCACAACTGTAGTGTTTGTGGTAGTGGTAGTGATGGTCATAGATGAATTCATCGGGTTCGACGCCGTACCATTCGGTAACATAGTTGGCGAGGCATCGTGAAGATGAGTCATGTTGACTGGCACTAAAGTGCCATTAGGTAACATTTGGTAAAGGGTTGTCGGCGGCGACGTCGGACTTGGTGCATTTCCATTGGTTGTGTTCACTACAGTGACATTCGTAACAGTTGTCGTTACAATTGTTGAATTTTTAGCGCCGGAACTCCTTGCAGCTTTAGCTTCTTCCTCGAATATGAAACTTGTTATTAATTGGCAATCAATTTTCGTTTCTTCGTAATCACCGTTAGATTTACGTACTGCAAATTTACATATTTCACCTGGCTGTGGCTTGTAGTTAGAACTACTGCGACTACCTGCATATGCTACACCAGCTAACGTGCCTAAATTGAGGAGCGCCAATCCAGCTAACAATGAACCGTATTTACTTCCAGAATCCTTATATTGATACACATATGTAGGAGGCGTACCATGATAAACTGGATACGATACCGGCCTTTGGCCTGGCGCTGCATATGTTATCTGACGAGGTGGAGTATAATGATAATGGTTATGAATTGTGGTGTGGCTGCCGTAATTGTTTTTACTGGGATAAGAGCTTGATCCTGATAATCCACTACCTGATGAAGGATATGAAGCTTTTCCTCCAGATGGGTACCCACTATTTCCTGATGATGGATACCTGCTACCTCCGCCTGATATTCCTCCTGACGGCGGATACTTGCTACCTCCTCCTGACATTCCTCCAGATGATGGATATCCATGACCTCCTCCCGATCCAGATAATCCACCACGACTACCACCAGACGGATACCCATGACTACCACCAGACGGATACCCATGACTACCACCAGAAGAAGGGTATCCGTGCCCACCGGAAAGGCCGCCACGGCTACCTGAGCCCGAGAGTCCGTGTGATGATGGATAACTATGAGATCCACCACCTCTGCTACCACCTCTGCTGCCACCATATTTTCCACCATTAATTGGTTCTAATACAGATAACACTAGTAGTGCGCAAAACAGCGCACTAATGTATTTGAGCATTATGATATTATTTAATCACAAACACAGCACAAATACGTCCGTCGAAACACTCTCGCGCATAAGACTGAAGTTAGTCACGAGGGAACAAGCGCGACAACATCGACCTCGCTACATTGAAATATTGCCATGCTACAGAATAAAATCACCAACGAGGTGATTACATATAATTAATAGTTTTATTTTTAACATGGACCACTTCTTCTTCTTCTTTTTTAATTAATGGCTTATTTGCGCATTTCGCACAATTCTGCCAATGTCAAGTGAATAAATAAATTTCTACATGTAAATGAAAATGAAATGAATAAAAAATTAACATGGACCAACAAATTATTTTGCTATCTATGTTTGGCAGATATTAAATTTGACATGTTGTTCAAACGTTTGCCAAGAGTAAGGTATTTATTTTTTTGTAAGCTAGGATCAAGTATCATAATAAGTTGCTGTAGATATTTTTATATGAGGTTGAAGGTAACCACCAAAGAGATTATATAAATATAGATGTAATTTATCTGTAATGAGGAACTATTAAAAATAAATAAAGCACTAAAAAAGCCTCACAAGATGGCGACTCTAGCAAAAGTTGATTTTTGCAGGAAACAAATGGACCAAAGCTAGTCATTTCCCTTCCTTTTAACGAACATATTAAAAACTTAAAATTTGCAAAGTTCGAAATTTAGATATCATTATAAATATCAAAAAGTACAAATAGAATATAAGTCGTTTATTGAGTTTTGAAAATTAATTTACTTTTATACATGAAAGAAAATAGGCATGTCGATTCACTTGAAAAAATATCGATCTCTGATTTGCTTCGAATCAAACATACTAGAATCGATTCTCGATTAAATCGAGCATTAAAAGATTGATTTTCGATGATTCGCGAATTTTTCGATCATACATGCCTTACATAGAGCATTATTGATGATAATTTACCGTTAATACAAGTTATGTAGGAATTGCAGGAGACCAATCAGGCAGTCTGTCTGTAGTCTAATCTACATAAGTTAGTCATAAAAATAAATAAATGAAATTGATAATTTATATAATTTTATTAAAGTTAAATAAAAATTAAATGTATAGTGAAGTCGAGTAAGTCGAGTGACTAAAAAAAATAATTTGCCTTATTGTTTGGGATCAAGGCGACTACTTCGTCACTAGCAATATTTCCTGCAACAGAAAAAAGCCTTTCACATGGAACAGATGTTCCAACTATTCAAAAGTGTTTGTTTGCAATCGGCGTTATCGAGCTGTACAAGGAATTTCTTTAGTGACAGCAATATGTGAAACGCAGACGTTTTGAAATCGATGGAAGGCTGTGTTAAATAATGTTTTCGCAACAAAAAGATTTCATGAAATCCTTTACACATCCAAGATGTACCGCGAAAATCAAAAACATAGAGAAATAACAAGAATATCATACCAAACATCAAAATTCATTTGAATATTTCCCGCTCTTGTAACTTTAGGTATGTCCGCAACTTTATGGTACGTTTTATTTTTTCTTACTAACGAGTGGAGCAATGAATGATGGGTGATTCCACGAGCTGGAGTAACAGTGACAATTGAGACAACTATACTATACTGACATTCGAATTATGCAAAATATTAGAAAACTAAAATATCGTAATCAATTTAGGGATTTTATATTGCTAGTTCTTGAATTGAATTGAATCGGTCCGATTCGAGGGGTTCATGCATCGATTCAAGAATCGATACAGCACTCCAAATCGATCTGAAAATCGATTATTTTACTTTAAATAATCGATTTTTCGATTATTCAATTTCAGATCGACATGCCTACGGAAGGGTTGTTATGGAGAAATAACGAAAGTACCGTTACGACATCTAGTTTGATTTCGGGAACTAATGGTTTTTTTTAAACACTTACTTATATTTTAAGATTTTTAGGAAGTTCACCTTCTTATTCTTATTTCTTATTTATAATATTTGAATCTATGGAGAGTAAAAATATTTTTGATTAATTTTCACTATGGCGAGTAACTTTTGTAGGTATATGTTTGTAGTTCGGTTTTTTTTGTACTAATAAATTGAACGTATCCTCAGTATACTAGGAAGCTAAGGGTCCTGCTGACAAGGAAAAAGTGAACCCAGGTGTGGACAGCATGAAGTCATAAGTATAACGTAATCGTTAAAGTGAGGAGGTTTCTCGATGGTGGTTACGGCTGCAATATTTATTTATATTGTTTGTTGAACATATATATAATATCAAAGAAAATAGTAAATAAGTATTCGTTTGGAGGACTATTGTTATCGTAGTCAATACGACAAAATTACTTAATACTTAAATTATTTTATGCATCTTCTATCTACAGATTATTCCGGGATCCGGAAAATTATTCTCGGTGATCACGTTCTTTCGCTTTTAGAATACTAATAAATGATACTTATTATATTACATTTCATACATTGCTCGTACGTACCAAAACGAACGTACCAAACAATATAGTTTTTTTTTCATTTCCTATATTAACCCAACTAGGAATCGAACTCGGGATCAGAGATGGAGACGTTTTAAACGGCATGTAAGCAATGTCAGTAAGATTGTCTTATTATGGTTTCAAATTGGAGAAATTTGTTTTTTTTTTTTATATAATTTTACGTACTGTTGATTGTACAACAATAAATTTTATTACTCGTAAGTATTTAAAAAAAAATGCATCATTCTAAATCCTTATGGAAGAATTTCTATGTTCAATAAAAAATTCAATATCACTAAAAATCATGATTTTTTAAATAAAACCGACTTCAACCTTTAAAAAGTGAGAAATATACTCGTCTTAAAAGCGACTTCATTATTCTAGACTCTGTAGTTGAAATCAGCCAGAGGTTTTCTGTAGATTATTAAATGATAACTAATGGACTTCAACAAAAGTTTCCTGAATAAAGATAAGTATTATTTCTCACGTTTTAAAGTTTTTGCAGTCATGTTTTATTTATTTATAGTATTGACTTATCTTTCATCTTTTATTTGTACGACACCCTACATCAAGCGCTGTGAAAAAACCCGGATCTTTTGCGACATTCTGCTTAATGATACAAAGGGCTTCGCCGAGACAGCCGCCTCACAACGTATCTAGAAAGTAAAAATAATTTTATTTCATCCACTTATTGTAATACAAATAATTTTGAAACATTAAATGATTTTAATAATTTACATTAAAATCATTTCATGTTTAAAGATCAAATAAAATGTTTTCTATCCTAGATGATTTCAACCGACTTCTTACAAATTACTAATGGATTTTAATATGCCGTTTTATTTTGGTAATTTCTCAATGTTTTTTAATATTTTATATGTGTTTATTTAAAATTAAATACTAGAAATAGTTGCAAATACATATTTCTGATTGTGCACTAAAAACGGCAGTATTTAAAACTGGGCAACACCCGAACCGGCACACTACTATCGGAATGTTTACCTGTCTACTCGGCATTGTCTCCGAGGCCCTCGTTGGAAGGGGAAATACGACAAACGTCACTGTTACGTATTCACTCTACTGAGAATAAAAAAAAAAAACAAATCCACAATATGGCTCTGAATCATTGGTTAACTGAGAATTTCGCAACATTCCTTGTCTCGCTTATATTCATAATGAAAGATAAAGTACAAACCAACTGCTGATCTTTTGTTAATAAACACTGTATATAAATAGACAATATTCTGGGTATCTACTGAGTATTTAACTTTAGATTAAGAATATTTCTCCTATATAATTAACAGTTTCTTTTCTGCCATTAAATTAAAACACATACAACAATTGTTATAATGAGATAGATGTAACGAGGTTGATTCAGTCTTCTTATTACCTATACTTATTATTGAAATTCTGAAACCTTCTCCTTTTTTGAAGTCGGTTAAAAATACGCTTTGATGGACACATGCTAGGAATAAAAGCCATGAGAAGTCAATGATATATACGTATTATTTGTGGCAACAGCCACAGCCATTCCACAGAATATTCTGTGCCCGTTCTCTCAAAACCTCTTCGACTATCTAAGTATATAAATAAAAATTAAGCGCTATATGTGTTGCTAAGCACTCAACTCGAGAACGGCTAAACATATTTGACTAATTTCTTTTTTGCAGCATTTTATCAAGTCTGAAGAAGGTTTTTATGGCGAGAAAAACATAAAAAAATACGATAAAATAGTATTATATTTTATTTTCCAACACAAACCACTATGTCCCAAGCTGTCAATCATTTAAGGTCAATCCAACAACGTTACTTTGTTGTAGAAAAACAAGGCATAATAAGGTTTACTTGGACAGTTAGTTTTAAAATTGGCTGCATAATTCGAATGGCATTTATGAAAAAAAAACTACTTTATTACCTACCTCTGTAAACAAATTTCAACGAATTTTTCTTTTTAAATATCAAAAATTTATTCTTAATGAAAAATTTACAATTTATTCTGCTAGGCAAAAACATTTCAACAAAAATATTGCGACGATTTTAGACTTGAATTTTAGATCCCTCTATAACCGTCATGAACTATGGACATCAATGGAAATTAAAACTTATGTATTGATTTCTTATATTTTTATGAGCACTATCCATAAACGAAACAACTTATATACGGTTTCATCGCGTTTGTATTAAGTTTTATTGACGTTTCGGACGCTTTGCAGATTCCATGTTCACATAAGACTACCTTTAGAAACCAAAACTATTGGAAACAATCACAATACAAAATTTTATATTTTTTGGCATCGTTTACATTTATTAAATTAAATTAAATCAATCAACTAACTTCAAAATCAACATTAATGAATCAATCAACACCTTAGTCTTATGTGAACACGGAACATGTAAAGGGACCGAAACGTTAATAAAATTATAATAATAAAGCTTATAAAAATAAAATAATAAAGCATTCGAAGTATCTACTTCAAAAAGTATAAAAAAATATATAATACCGAAGTCTAAACTCACCTTACTACATTTAAAGAAAAGTTATTCTATATAACCAATAAGTCTTTATAAAATTGCCACTGAACCTAACATATTAATATTGCGTATAAAAAAAAAGTTAAAAGTATGGTTTTTAAAAAAAACTTTTATAGTGATTCTTTTCTGTTCCTAACGCCACTTATGAGGTTACGTCATTAGCGTTTTTCGTGCAGTTGAAGCCGCGGTTAAAGTGAAAATAATTTAAGTGTTAGAAATACAGTTTTTGTGTTTTTGTTAATATAACTGTATTTCTGACCCTATTTTCTTTCTAACCCAGAAAGAAAACCAAGAAAGGCAAATAGGATCAGACTACCTCCCTGAAATTGCTCATGTTGAAACCAACATGGGATGGTTTTTGTTCTTTTGATCACAAAAAAATAATATTACTGTTTATTACTGTTTATTATTTATTAAAAATGTACGAAATCAAGCGAGCGAGTCTTTACTCGCGATGCGTATTTGTATGGGAACGTAGTAGAGGTACAAGAGGGCCTTAATAACGACGAACAAATGATAAAGAAATATGTTATGGATATGACAGCAGGTCATTTACCCATCAAAAGACATGCATTACAAATGTCCATCGTCAGGCTCCGATCTCGATTAATTAATCGTCCTAGTACCAGTTGGTATAAAAATAACTTGAAGGCATTACGCATTACCAGAGGTAAACAACAAGAAATAAAATTGTAGGCATTACCAGACATAAACGACTTATTGTTGATATAATAATTTTGGTTTTGAGAAATGCTTTATCAAATCTAAACGCCAATGTATAAGTTGCTTGAATGACCCTTTCAATTAAAGTTTATCAACGGACTGACAAACGGTCAATTGGCGCTTATATAATTGACATGACTGTATTTAAACATTTTAAACGTTTTGTTTGTATGATATTGAAAGAAGAGAATAATCTCTATATTTGTATTTAAATATTTTATTTGATAGGGACTAAATTTGTCTAACTTGAATGATTCTAGAAAAAATATAAAAAGCTTCATTTTCTTTATATTTTTCAAAATTATGCTTTAAATCTTAACTTAAAAATAAGACTTATGTTGCTAAATAATTAAAACTACATTAAATGCATAATAAAAATACAAATTTAAAAACGTAAAAGTATTGACTTTTCCAACTTTTACGAACGTTCGGATATAGATATAACATTCGAACTTTAGAAATAAATCGAACAATAAATTTAAACAAGAAATTAAAAAAAGAATGCTTAATAATCTATGCTAAAAAATTAATTTATTTACTTCTTATAATTAATTGAGTGCATTATGTAAGAGATAAATTACCCATAAATTAGTAACATGGTTCTTTCGTGAACAAAATTGTAAATAAGTATATAATTTTTTTTATTGCCGTACAAAAAATTCAAACATTGCAAGTCAAAAAATAATTAACAAGTGTATAATGTGTAACAGATAACAACTAATGCAATAGGAAATAATAACATATTGTATTTCTCTAATCGTATCCAATTAATATAGTTATTTAGTTATTACTTCCTTAATTATGTCATTAAGTGTTAACACAAATCCGGATAAAAAAAACTTTGGCAACAGGAAACCACAAAAACATTATTGTTTAATCTTTGGTAACACTTCATAAACAGTACTGGCGTTACTATTTTTAAATTGCTATGAATAAAGACATCCACCACGGTGGATTTGAGGCCCAAGACTTTAGTTTGTCTCTTGAAGGCATCAGACTGCTGTCTTGTTTCTTAGGCTCCGGCATTTTAGCATATTTCATTAAAGTACTGCAGTCAATTTTATGATGTAATAAGGTCTCTTTCGTTTGTATTTCTACAATACATTCCTTACCAGAAGGATCGACCGTCGGACCTTTTACTGTGAGAGGATCAAGTGATTTCACTGTTTTTGTACAATTAATACTAACTATCACCTTAGAATTTCCTTCTGTTGTGATATTCGATTTTGAAATATTATTACCAACAGGCAGGTTACTAGTAACAACAGTCGAATTCACTGATGTAGATTTTTCACTAGTAACTGTTAAATTTGTTGTTTGGTTACTGTTAATAGACGTAGAGTTTGATACTGTTATATTATTAAGCACTATAGGTTTCACTGACAATGACGCTTCAGTGGTTATAGTAACATTTTGGACATTCTCATTGGAATTGTTCGTTGATACTGTAGAATTCGGGTTTGTCAAAACAATTGATGAGTTGTCTTTTACTGTGATTGTTTTATTGACACATACAATCGTGTCAACAGTGTTATTTTCAGTAACAGGTTTACTACCTTCTGTAAAAGTAGACACTATTTCACATGGAATGTTTAATGTCTCGGTATCGTAGCGGTCTTTTATTTTCAATCTGCACGTAGCCGTTTCTTGTGGCGTGCTGTAACTGTTGTAGGTGTTGTAATATCTTCTACTATAAAAATCATCATAGTAATAATGGTCGTGATGATGACTATGAGATCGACCTAAATTATATAAAGTCAATCCTGTCAACAAGTCCCCATAACGACTGTCTGATTGTCTATACTGGGTAATATAAACATGTTGTGGTGCTGAATAATAAGTTGGTGTATTATACGTTTTATAATATCCGTTGCCATAAGATTGACCAGTTGATGATGGTGTATAATGGCTTTTTCCATTTCCATATGATGTTGATGGATAATTACTTTTCCCAGATGATGGATGTCGGACTCCCCATCCGAAATCATAAGATCCTGATGAAGATGAAGAGGGATAATTGCTCTTTCCTGATCCAGAACCGGACAATCCTGTTGATGAGGAAGGATAACTGCTCTTTCCTGATCCAGAACCGGACAATCCTGTTGATGAGGAAGGATAACTGCTCTTTCCTGATCCATAACCAGATAACCCTGACGATGAAGAAGGATAAGTACTCTTTCCTGATCCATAACCTGATAATCCTGACGATGAAGATGGATAATTACTCTTTCCTGATCCATAACCTGATAATCCTGACGATGAAGATGGATAAGTACTCTTTCCTGATCCATAACCTGATAATCCTGACGATGAAGATGGATATCCGTAACTACTTGATCCTGAACCGGATAGGCCAGAAGATGATGATGGATACCCGTAACTGGATGATGATGAGTGACTAGGTTTCCATCCTGACCCAGAAAGTCCTGAGGATGATGAGGGATAACTATGTCCAGACGAACTACTACTCCATGAAGGTTTGTAACCGCTTGAGCTTCCAGATGACCAGGAACTTGAGCTTCCGGATGACCAGGAAGGTTTACTATAACTACTGGAGCTATGCGAGCTCCATCCACCACCCCAACTGCTATGACTACTTCCACCTCGACTTCCACCTCGGCTACCGCCTCTGCCACCTTTACACTCAATAGCATTAACAGCAAATAATAAAAGTAACAGACCTAACAGAATTTTTCTGTTGGCCATTTTGGACAGTACTGCCACGCGACTCACTCAGTTCCACACTGTGTCAGTCGGACGGTAAACGATGTTATTTATAGAATCTGTAATGAACACAGTCTGGACGAATTACGTCAACAAATACGCGTAAAATCTTGTGTATATTCTTATTAATCGTTATCACTGTGTTTCTGTTTAACTAAAAACAAATATGTCGTAGAAATTGACTGATAAAATTGTACATTTTATTGAGAACTTTAATAATGTTACCAAGTTAGATGATTTCTTATTAATATTATAAATGTGAAAGTTTCTTTGTTTGAATGTTTGTACGTCAATCACGCCGAAACTACTGAACGGATTTTGACGAAATTTGGTATACAGATAGGGTGTTAGCTGACTTAGATAATAGGATACTTTTTATCCCACTAAACATTTCCCTAGGGTCCACGCGGGCGAAGCCGCTGGCGAAAGCTAGTACGTAATAAAACTTAGATCTAAAAACTATATTTAAAGAATTCGTAAATTTAAAAAATCAAGAAGCTTTCTCTTATTTCTTACATTTTGTAAAAAAATTACGATTATATATATGCCTGTCTAGCAGAATGCAAAATAGCCTTAGGTTTTTTTATATTATAAGACTGAATGTTTTTATTGGTTTTTCCTGTTTCTTTTATCAACATACACTTAATTGTACCGTTATCTGAACAGAACAAAATATACATGCAAATTTATCTCAGAAAAATAACAATATGGCATTGTGAATATAAAATTTATTTCAAAAAACTAGGCCAGATGACCCAGTTTTGGACATTTTAAGATTTAAGAGGACGTGAATTTTGACACTTGCAATAACGCAACATTTTAAAAACGATTCACGGCAAAGCAATATATTTGTCTATGCATTAATTAGAACGCCTTGAAGTTCCAAATGTCCAAAAAAGGTCAAAACTTTTGTCCTAATAATAATCCAAACAATAAAATCTTACATTCATAGTACATAAACTATAGTATTTTCGTTCATTTTAAAAATAATATCTACTTATCCAATCTAAACAAATAATAAAAAGAGACAAAGTTTCTAACTTTGTTTGTTTATTAGAGTGGAGGGGATATTCTTCGGGTATGCTAATCCGATTACGAAAACTATTTCACAAAGGGAAGCTACATTATACGCAAGTATAAGGCTATAATTTACGTGGTTGAAGTCGTAGAAGAAGCTAATTACTAATATATTAAAAGCTGTTTTTGCAATTTCTATAAACTGCGACTTAAAAAAGATGCCATGTTGAGGAAAGGAATTCCATTTGCGGTGACCTTATAATATTAAACAACATCAAGTCTCATCTGATACCTACACAATATTTATTAACTAATAAGAAACCTACAACTTTAATGAATGTATTATTCCCGAAACATAATTAGTGAGTCCTATGAATGACTTTTTTACACATTATATATTTCAAAGAGGTTAAAAATAACAAAGTAATATATAATACCTGTAAATAAGTAGTAAATAATGTAAATAAGTCTTATTAACGGTACTCTATGAAACTCGTATCAACCGCCTATAAAAAATATAGGAGCAATATTAACGCAAAAAATAAGTACTGTTAAAAAACTGAAGGCTTAGAAATCCACCCAGCATGATCAACAGCCGGCAATATATTGCTGGTCATTTTTGTCTTTGGAATACTTGATTTCAAAAGGAAGAAAAAACCTTATTAAAATTAAATTTGAATAAATATGTTGATATGGACGACGATTGGGAAATTGTGAAAACAATATAAACTTGCAGGTATCCCCTTGATCTCTTTCCCCGGCCGCTGTAACCAAGGCAAGGGATCAAAGAGATACTTGTCACAATCAATTTAATAGATATATTTTGTAAACCTCTAGGTAGGTTCCAACAATATTCACGTTTATTTATTATACATTTGGGTTAATGCACAGAAGCAGAAGTTGACCCCAGCACCACCCCAGAATACCTCCAGTTACGAGTAAAATGAGAGCTACACATCTAAATACATAAGTACGCGTTTATTTAAGTCCTCTAAATTATGACTTCAGCTTACTAGGTAGTTTTCAAATAATTTTATTTGTATAGGAGTTCGTTGAGACGACACGCGCCCGCTAAGCGCAAGCCATGCGCGTCAGCATCCGACCCGCGTCTTACCTATTTTGAGAACAAATCTCAAAGTAGGTATAGTTTGTAGCTGAGTATCTCGGTGGTGTAGTGGATAAGCGCCGCGGCCCGCGATCGTAGTCGTTAAGCAACTTTCGCAAGGGTCGGTCACGGGATGGGTGACCAAATATTATTATCTCGAGCTACTACGTGCTTCGGAAGGCACGTCAAGCCGTTGGTCCCGGCTGCATTTGCAGTCGTTAATATCCTCCAATCCGCATTGGGCCAGCGTGGAGGGTCATTGCCCATCCTCCTTAACCATCCGTAAGGAAGGCCTGAGCCCCTGCAGTGGGGACGTAAAAGGGCTGGTAATGATGATGATGATGAGGTATAGTTTGAGTCTTATTACACATTATTACATCTCAAATTTTATTTATCGTCATCCACTCGCACGCGTCATGTGTCCGTCTCATATGAAGACTCAGGATCACCCAGCGGGCAACGGAGAAAGCAATAAGCATTTCTCTACATGTCAAGATTTCTTGTCTCCGTGTCAAGAAACGATATGTGTGGGAAAAACAAAGTTACTGACATTGCTCAAATGAAGTGGCTGTGGTTGGGATAGAGTTATATGCTTTGCCTCTGGACGTTTTTCAACATTTTAGGATATTATTAACATTATAAATACTAAGCATAGAAAACTTTAGAAAAATCGAATAAACTTAAATTTTAATCACGAGACAATAAAATAAGCAATCAATTATAAGCCCATATGCATAGGTTGAGCTTCTTCTAAGCATTCATAGAACTGAATGTCATCATTCTCTTCAAATACCCTCTTCAAATCCTTCTTCAAAACTTTAAGGTCTGTGTTACTAATATTATCGTATTTATTTATTTGATAATATTTGAAACCAGTAGACTCAACAATTTTACGATTCGAAACTCTACTTTTGACTTCTTTAACTGCTTCCATCTCTGAACATGTTATATTGCGATTCATACTGATTCAGAGATTCACATAGTGTACAATTCAGAATAGAGTACATATGAACAGTCCACAGATACAATATTCTTTTGTTCATAGGTATAAATAAACGATTATAACCACTCAATTGCCTCAAATAATATCACACATATCTTTGGAGATTTACAAACAAAAAACAACATAACACATTACAAAAAACAACACACGAGCTCATATGTTTATGAATATTTGAGAAAAACGCACAGATTATCATTTGAGATCAAGTAAAATTGTAACAAGTCAGGGTTGCTGAGGTCAAAAATACTTTAAAGATCAGTTCGAGTTTAAAAAATGTTGGTATTTAGTTTTTGAGTTATCAAAGGTCCATAGATAAAGCCGTCGAAAGGTACAACACTTGACTCTACATGGGTAGCTAAAAGAACCGATATCCTCTAAGGTCGAAGGGTGGAATCGGAGTTCGCTCATTGAGTATAGACTATAGCATTTAAAACTATCTGGTAAAAATTGCGGGAACCCGCTGGATAAAATCAGTGAAGGATCGATTTCATTGAGATCTCTGGGGGAGGCATAAGCAGTGGGCAACATTCGTCTTATTGATGACGGTAATGATTTTTTAAGACACTTTGTCTATGAATAATATAATAACTACTTGCGGAAATCAGCCCCGAATAGACGTGCTCCAATGACACACGTAAAAGTAATCGTAATAAAAAGATCTTGCCAAAAGCGAGTTGGATTCACACGCAATCGTTCCTTACGAATATCAAATTTTAAACACCTTTTTATACCACGACATTTTCCTATAGCGATCAACACTATTTCGGTATTATTACTTTTTTTTTATATTTCCCCCATTGTTTCAGAAAACAAGAAGGTTATAGTCGATTTTCGTCAGTTTTCTTAAATAATTTCTGAACTATTTTTAAAATATTCTAAATATATTTTTTTCAGATCCTCAAAATAAGTTGTTTTATTTAATATGTCACATAAAAAGACTCACAAAACTTTTTTTTATTTCCCAATCTACGCCCGAAAAGAGGCGTCATTAAAATTCATTTATTTCCATTGCGCGTCTTTGGGTAACCAACTTTCATATATGTGCCAAATAACTCTATCAGTATAGTAGGACTAGTTTGGGGAAAAATTCATAAGCTGTGATCTTGCACATAAGGGATCCGTTTTTTTCCTTTGAGTTGCGGAATCCTAAAAACCGCAGCGGCATTGATCACGTGCAAATTTAACACTACAATGAGCTGTAAATTGCAATCTTATAATCATTACAACCTATAATCACCAGTCGTGAGGAAACCTCGCTATTCTTCGTTACTTTTTGTCGTAAAAGTGATCGTCGCGACATTCAGTTAGTTCCAATCATGCCGCGGTCCAAACGATACATTTAAAATGTTACTTGGTGTGCTGCTGATCGCTATATTATTAAATGAAGTGTATTATAGTGATGGGGATACGAAACCTTGTACTTTCCCAATTCCATTGGAGTTGCCGAACAGGAACGACCGTTCTGATCAGTGCTGGCTGAGAATAGAAGATGTCGAGTTAACTGAAACTGTCACTCTATGGTGCTATATAGCCCATGCGTTTCTCAGAAACTACATACACGATTACAACTCAAAAAAGATGACAGAAGACAAGGTAGACGTAAGTCTATGGAGTGAGGACCCGCGACCACAAAATGATATCGTACCAAAGACTGTAGACGAAATGGGGATAAAAGATTGGAAGTTAACCACTGTGATGGACCCGGCGATGCATATGAGGATTTATGTGTCGAAGCAAGCGGATTGTCGATTGATCATGTACACTAGAGAGGGCATGACCAACTACAAAATTGATTGTGAAAGGATTCTGTATTACGTGAATGAACGTATGTACGGTGCGGCTACGGTGTCCCGTGCTCAAGGCATCTTGGTCTCGGTGTGCATTTTCCTTATAATTATCAGCTTTCCAATAATTCTGTGATATTATTTTTAGCTCTAAATAATTAAACCGGCTTACCTTTTTTACATTTATCCTTATCGATCAAATAACCATTTTGTTACTTTCCTTGAGTCATTAGAGGAAATCTTGTGAATAAATTTGTATTTTTATTAGTTATTTAAGGATATCAACGTTATTAAAGGTAAATTAAAAGACATCAAAGTTTCAGTTTATTCTTCCTCTCGTGTAATTCAATAGTTTAATAATGAATGATTAGTTCTAAATGCAGAGGGATCGTAACGTGAAGGTCATGCAATGAATAATAAGTTAGTTTCTATTGTGTATTCAATTGCAGATATAGTCAACAGAACATCACGTTATTTAATCCGACAATTCTCATTACAAACCTTAATAAGTTGAGAATTAAGTTAAAAATCGATCGCGGATAACGACTATTGTGATATGTCGCTGTATGTACTCATAGATACATATACGGCTGGAGAAAATGAATTGTCATTTGTTTATTCTTTCGTTTATCAATTTAATACGTAGCAACTTTAGTTGACGAAATTTAAGCAACTTTAACTTGTCAAAGTTGGCTTTGATGTCGTCAGTTTATAAAGCATATATAAGTTTTGATTTAATTAAAATTAATGATCAAATAAGTTATATTTAGACATACAAATATTACCGGGCTGATATAAATCTAAAAATATATTAATTTTATGTTATATTCCTTGAAGTAATAAAGATAATAAACAACTTTCTCAATATCTCTGGAATCTGGGTTTCATAGCTAATTTGATTTATTCAAGTTGATATTTCTATAGTAACCCCTCATATAACCACAACTTTTGGTAGATGTATAGTGCTTTATTACGCAACTATTATGTAGGTATTTACTTCATAACCGGATCGCCAACAATTAAGTATCGGCATTCAAGTGTATAGCTACCGTTAAATTCAAGATAATAAAATTTTTTTTCAACTTCAATGAAAAACCTAAAGCCAAATAAATGTGCCTAATAATTCAAATCTTTAAATGATACTATGCTATAATTGTCATTGGATAGTATATCAGCTTATCACTACTGTATACACTATTTATAATATTGTGTAATACCACTAACACAATCAGAATTGGTCTAGAAATGGATAAATCAATGCTGATCTCTGATTGGTCTGCTGACAGTTAACTGTCAGCCTGTGAGATCATTCATTACTTCATTTTGACAGATCAATCTAGGATTCAGTTAGGCGGTTACGCCGCATGTTTATACAAAATGAATAACTGCACTAGAGGCAGAAATTCTTTTATAATCTAACTTTTAATAAAATGAGGCTGAATATCGGTTAAAAATATTTGACAGATTTATATAAACTGATGTATTGTTGAAGCTACCTAAGGCGTATCATACGCGCAGTTAAGATATGTATTCTTGGTCACGGTGATTTACAGCAATTCAATTACAATCATTCCATTTGTATTGGTCTGCATGGCACTTAAGACGACAATTTTTCGTATTGTCACATTTAAAATAAATTTTCATAAAAAAAAACAATTGCAAAACATTCAACACGAGAACCATTTAAAGTTTAAACGTTTTTCAACACAATGCCTTTATTTTATCACTAACTATTTCTACGTTGCAAATCTCGCAACGGTAGGTCGGTCTCAATGTGATCAGATTAGGTATCTATTTATTTCTGATAAAGTGATTATTTAACTATTTAGTTTTTACGCTTCACAAGCACGTCAAGGGTAACAACCGTTCAGCTGAACAAATTTGTATGTCGTGTTAATTGCCCGTGAAATGGAACATTACAATGATGTACTATTGATCTCTCAGATATGTCGATTTTGGTGATGTTTATAATATTTTTCTGAATTTCCTGAGACACGTTCAAGATCTTGATTAAACAAAGCACTATAATAATCATCAGCCTATCTCTGTCTCTCCTATTAATCACATACCTCCTTTACGCATAGAAAGTCATAGGCAGGATGGGCTTTAACTAACATAAAAAAAAATAAAATAAAATAAAAAAAGTACGTTTTTCGTATGTTCGCACGGTGAAACAGAATATTTTTGCGTTCCAGGGTTATTTTAGCGACCGATAGCTACTCACCACGATCCATTGTTATGCTATACTGTTAAAAAATTACTGCAACTCGTCATCGAATGCAATACAGCACCTCGACGAAACAAAATCAGTTTGGGTGGATTGCCTGAACATTAATGAAAATACGCTCTGTAGTAGTGAAAGTTAGGTTCTGGCTGGCTCAATGGTGAAAAGCGAAATTGCGAAAGCTCATGAATTCGAGTCCCATTTCAGAGTGCCATGGACAAACTAGATTTTTTAAGTTTTTTCATTAACAATATTAATAATTGGGTTAAGCCTAAACGAGTTTCCTAGTTACAAAAAAACAAGTAATGTAGTTACCAAAGTTTAGATACTGGAATATACAAAACTATCAGTATTATTAGTAACTTTATTTTCATAAAATGTTATTTTGTACTGTGCCGAGCTTGAAGCAAATAATTTAAAATAAAATCAATTTTAATAAACTAATAATTTTACACGGGAAATGATGTTGAGTAGGCGTCAGTTCCATGTTGAAATGGAATTAATCGCATGTCACATGAAAGAGTAAATGAAACAAGCACTTTAGTCAATAAATTAAAATAAAGGTGAACATCCACTGTACCCGCATGCACACAACTGACGAACGGTACGTTACTGATTTGCCGATGTCGGTTAACATCCACTTCACTGTCTCAAGTTGTCTCCGCACGTACGCGACGGACGTATATGACAAAAGTTTCAAATTTATTAATTCAAATTTTGAAATGCAAAAAAAAAGACTTTACATGATTGGCGACATCTTTGTGAGCAAAACACTTTATGTTGGCAAAGTTATCGTCAGCCAATGACGACGTCATCGGCACATATTGCATTGTATTTGCTCATAAAATGCGTACGTCCGGTGCGGCCGCTACCGGTAGTGAACAGTTTGCTTTACAAAGATATAGAAAATATATTACATACTATGTGTTGATTGTGTCCTTGCGAACCCTGTGGTGTGAGCGGTCACTTTAAAAATGCAAAAATATCAAATGTGGTTCGCACATATTATTAAATTGCCATATATACATATTATTGTCATCAGCTTATTAATGTCCAAACATAGACATTTCCTATCACATAATTAGAACGGCTATAACCCATCACACAATACCAATGAGAATTAGTAGATGCTAAAGCCTGCAGATGCCGCCGGTACAATCCTTTATAATTGTATTCACAAGGACGAAAAGATGAAACTCCTTTAAAGGAGAAGCTCAATATTTACCCTAAAGTCGTTTAATATTTTATTATCAAAACACATAAGAGACTTGATTAGGTCATAATGGAAAAACAAAGACACAAAAGTTTTACGCATAATATAGAAGCTTCCTATCTAATGGGACATAAGAATACAATTAATAAAGGTATACAATTAATTTCCTACAACCAAAGGAGCCCAGAATTTAAGTGAGCTATTCCAAATAAAAACATATGTATTTGATGACTGAATAGATGAAAAATGAACTAAAAAAGAAGCTACTAACAAACCTATTGATATGAAGCCGTTATGAATCACTATTTAAAGTCGAATGTTTCTTTCAATTGTACAATATTTTTGTCAAATGTTACTTAAACGAAATACTAAGCATACTTTTATTGGATTTAATTTTACTACACACTTTAATATCACTTCACTACTTCTTTTATCTGGGCCTTATTCTCTATTTGTCTTATAGAGAATGCCAAAAGTCATTGGTTGCGTTATTTATAAAATTGTGCGTGCAGTAAAATTTAAATATATAAATGCTGTCTCACCACCGCGTCCCTTTTAGTTAGGTAATTGTTGTGCCTCATACAGTTGGGTTAATTCTCTAAGCTGTGCCATTTTATGTACAATAGAGTTGTCATAAAATAATAGTGCTATTTCCACAACACAATCATCAGAGAAGTCATAGTAATTCAATTTAATTATATAGTACAAAATGAGGGCATGACGTATATCTTAAAACTAGTCTCTTGAAACTGGGCTTTCGTGTGCTTGTGCCTGTGAATCTCGAAAAGTAGATTATCTTGATTTTTAAACGATATTTACATATAAGAATATAGACTTTCTATTGCCAAATTTTCATTATAAGATATGAATCTGAGCTATAACAAAATTTAAAGAGCGAAGGGGAAGGTAGTATAATAACACATACTTTTCTTTTTCTGGAGCCGCGTAGGAGACTGACAAATGCCTGTATATTGGGCAAGCGCACCTACTAAAAACAATCAAAGTCCCACTCCGTTCACCTCCATTTTGGTCTCCTTGCGAGAGTCCTTCCGAGGTTTGGACTTTAGTGTTTCTGAATGTTGCCCATTCAGAAGCACTAAAGTTTTACACCGCAGACATGTTAAAGAGGTACACAAACAACACAAAACGTAAACAAGAATGACAAAGTTATATGAGACAATCAGGGACACTATAGCTATAAGTTATTTAAATATATATTAATTTAAAATTATATTTTACAAAGAAATTTATTTTGAAACCTAAAAGCAAAATTATGAATTTATACATTATCAATATTTTTATAGAAGACTATAAAAATCACTAGCGCTATAGCTATGGCTTTGATATAGACAGGGCTGGTCGTACACTTATGGTGCGAGGTTAATTACACACCCACGCCCATTTAGTGCCCTCGCTGCATTTGATGGTATCGATGCACATAAAAGCAATTTCATTTACATACAAATTAATTTGTTTTTTATTTATTGATTCCTTATATTATGTCCTCACATATGAAATTGTTGTTTGGTATAGGAGGAACAAAAAGTCAAATATTTTTTAATATAATATATTTATTTAATCAAAGTTAAAACCACTGTTATCTATGCACTTTTGCCATCTCATAGGTAGTTCATTTATCCCCTTCCTAAAAAAACCATTCGGACGGGAATCAATAAAATCTTTGAAGGCGATTTGCACA